ATGTCTCAGTTAATTTTTCTTCATATAAATAAAAAAGTACTTCAATCAAAATCAATCAATGCTAAATGTTTTTGAAAAGTCGAGCAGATAACACATTTATATAGCGATGGGATGTCCTTCTTTTTACCTGATCGTGCAAGTAATTGGTTTGAAAGTTGCTCTTTTGTGAGAAATCTCTTTTTAGTTGAAGTACTACCTATTTCTATTCAGAGGAAGATCTATTCTTTAGAAAATAGGAACAAATTAAAAACTTTTCTAATCTCAACAGATAATTCCTTACCAAAAACAAAAGAGCTAAAGAGTCTAAAGACTTTTAACAAAAACGCTAATCATTAAATGTTTGCATTTGTATCTCTTGTGAGAGGAAAAAAAAAAAAATCAAAAGCACTGACCTATATCAGCAGTTTATTTGCTAGCATACATTTTTAGATCTGTTATTATCAACCTTCACTATCACTTTACCTCAGGCATGTCCAAAGTCAGTCCTCGAGGGCAGCTGTCCTGCAGGTTTTTAGGCTTCCCTGCTTCAGCACAGCTGATTTTGAGGATTCCAGTTTAGCAAAAGCCTGTTAATCAGCTATCAACGAAAATCAGCTGCGGCCCTACAGTTCTGATGGTACATTCACAATGACTGAATATATATACAGGTAAACCTGTTTTCTCTGTCGGAGGAGAAACCTCTCAACATTGAAGCTGACAGTTGTTTAAATAGAAACCAAAAGATTATTGATCCTCAATTTCACGGTCAATCTTTTTTAAGTGTTGAAGGTTTCCCTTGTTACTGTTCTCTATTATATAAAATACAATAAAAATAATCACTGCTTTTGATACAGCTATATGTTGGGTTTGAGTAATACAAGGCTGTGTAGACAGTAAGTTGGCATGTTTCAACTAATCATTGTGTGTCTCAACAAGCTCAAACAAACCACACTTTTACTGTTCACGCTGAGACAGAACACTTTTTTCAGACTTCATATATGTGCAAACAGGCAAAGACAAACACCATAAGCAACTATGTAAATCTTCCTTCTCTTATCTTTCAGGCCAGAAGTATCCCATTTAAGCCAGGCTATTTATCATAACCCAATCCCTTCAACTACAAAGTTCTTGACACTTCAAATGTCCTTCAGACTTGCTTGATTTCTCTTTTTAAAAATTCAAATGAATATTTGTATCCTCCACTTGTCTGTTACTGCTGTTATGTGAGGACTGGACCACAGAGCCACAGTAAAATTAAGCAAGTTAAGGCAAAGGGGGAATAAAGCCAGAGCTTTGATTTATTAGCATGCATCTCTGTGGTCTGCATCCGCAAATTGACTTCCAGATACAAAGTACAAAGATATGCATTCTCTAAATGAATAGCATAGTGAAAACAAAACCACATAGTGAAGGGGTAATAGTGAAATCGTGATTATTCAGTATTCAGTAGTGCAGTGTCGTTTTCGCCAGTGGACCTTTTCATACATAATGCATCCAAATCATTGCATTTTTCCTCCGTTCTGGGCTACAATACATTTTTTATCAAGTCAGTGAAATATTAAGGACTCTTATGTTTTCATATTCTCTTCCAAGGCAGAACTCAGTCCATATTATTTTAGTCACATCACTTGAGTGTCAGAAAACTTCCTTTATTGTCTTTAGTTGTTGCTATGTTTGTTTACTGGAGAGATGCTTCATTGGTTAATACTGAGACAATGTTCAGGGAGGCAGAGAATCGATTCCAGAGATCATCAAAGCTCAGGGGCCATTGATTAATTAGAGGATTTGCCTCTGAACTGGAAGTTTGACTTCTCTATTTTATTTGTTTGGAATTAGGAGAGTACCTGTGAAGCTACTATCCCTTCCTTGACCCTAAAATATAAAAAAACAAACAAAAAAAATGTTAAGCAATGGGAAAATAATCTTTTAAGCAAGAGCCAATTAGGTTTCTTTTCTATGATGTTCTTTTTTTTGATGATGTGTTATTGTTAGAGCTTATATTAAGCATCCTATAAAATGTGTAGAAAATTGTAATTAATTTGATCTTAGCAAGCTATATACAATTAAAGCAGTTAAAAAATTCTTCTGCAACTCATTAAAGCCTGAATCTACTTAAATAAATATATAACTAAACCTACTGTTTCTGGCATTTACTCAAGCATAATTAGTTACTTAAACACTTTTCTCATGTAAGCATAGTAGTACATAAAATATTTGTGTATCAGTAACTAAATATGAGTAAGTTGATACCAAAATGGTTGATTTGTTTCTTTAAAAACTGTGACCCTAGCCCAGGGCATACAAAATATATGCATATATATATATATATATATATATATATATATATATATATATATATATATATATATATATATATATATATGCATTCAAACTAAGTAAAAAAGCTGACAAGTGATCAAGCAACTCTGTGCGATATCCATACATACATATATATACAGTATATATATAAAATTAAATATACATATATTTATTAATGTATTAAAGATACACTATCATTAGAATTAAGTTATCGAGTTGTTTTCACTGATTCTCGGTTCACTGGGTTCTGGTGGAATTAGACAGTTTTTTGGACTATATAATCATAAATTGGTCAAGTTGTAAAGTGTAGATGAGGACCCAAGTGCAGAGATAGAACCTGCTGATGAGTTTCGTTGGTCTATTTGTTGGAGGAGGTAACAGAAACAAATAAGCCAAAGCAAAGGAATCCAAAGTAATAGACCGGGGAAACACACAGAAGGGGATGAAGACAACAAATGAGGTGCTGCAGAAGAGTAATATATATGGTGGGGAAGAGCAATGAGTGGGGCAATTAACTGATTGGGAGCAGGTGTGGACAGAAAGATCTGAAGGAGAGCTGAGGGGCACTATGGAGAAGGCAGCTGGCACCAGGGGGCCACAGAGAGTAACAGGTCATAAGAACTAAGAAGACAGAAAAGGGAAAGCAGACTAATGACTAAGAAACAGAAAATGACCAAGTGCACACTATGGGTAAACAATTTTATAATCTTAGATGATTAACATGCCATGGGAGATATCATCTAAAGATAACAGAAAACAATAGATATAAAAAACTAGAACAAAGATAAAATAAGTACCAATGGATTTTTAAAAAGATAACTGAAAGACACACCTAGGAAAAGTTAAACTCGGAAGTCATTCAAAATTAGATCGATCTTTACAGAAAACACAGAATCACATGAAAAATTGAACAGAACCAAAATGTCAAAAACAGTAGATCATAACAGCGTAACTGATCAGCTCCTCAGGCTTTAAAATGCAGTCCAAATTAGGTGTTTGGTTCTCGTAAAAGCTGAAATAAAATCACAAACATTAGTGTAGTTCAGGAAGCTATTCTTAGGTCTGCACAACAGATTGCAGGACTTATGGAATGGCTGAGACATTTGTGAGAATAAGAACACATTTTAAGGCTGTATCTGGAAGAATTTAAAAACAATGTTCGATCCTCTTGGCATTCAGTTGCACCCTTATAACTCTGTAGCCAAAAAAATAACAAAAAACTCTTTGGGTTAAAATAAAAAAAAAGTTAAATGCTAGCCATTAAAAAGATAATGCATTCATGAGAACAAAAGGCACTAATGAGTAACATTTCTGCACAAAGTATATGACAGCGGAAAGGTTTTATATAGACAGTGAACTTGCATTTAGCATTGAAACTATTTAAGAAAATTGGAATCTGCCTTTTTTTGTACACCGAATTTTAAATACTGAATTTTTTTACACATTGAATTCCTTACACTGATTTTTTATCTGGTGAAAATTCGGGAAGATGGGAAACGTTAGCCTTTAGATGCAAATCATGCACCACAAAATATTTTTGCAAATTATTCGAAAATTCGAATAATTTGCCAAATATAAGTGGAACATTGTAGTTTGGTTTAAAGAAGGCATTTTAGTTTTATTATAATTTTGTTTGTTGCAAGGATTTTCCCTGGTAAAAAAAAAATGTGCTTTATTGTATTTCAAGTATATTCATATTTCCTATAGTTTACTGAAAATGTACTTAGACAAATTGTACTTTTTGTAAATATATAACAAGTATACTAACATTACGCTTTCATGCTAATACTTTTAACACACTTTAACATAATTACACTATGTTACACTTTATAGAAATATATTATTAAAAAAGTATACTTTAAGTGAAAGTTATGTGTAATTTCTAAAGTGTACTTTTTTTAAATTTGTTTTTCCATATATTTTTGCTATATTTTAAATTGTATGCTCAAAATTGTCATTGTAACGTACACTGAAAGCATATTTTAAAAGTACACATTTTAATCTCGACACTGTAATATTAAGTTTGAGTGCATTTTAAGTTACATTTGAATCTAATTATGAAGTGAAGTTATATACGCTTGTACTTCAGGTAATTCTTTTGGAAAGTGTTCAATAGTATAACTACAAAAATGCACTTAAACCCTATTATGCAATTTTGTGCTGTGTGAAAAGTACACAGATAGCAATTATTGCAGCTGTTATGTAATGTTTAATAAGTTTTGAAAAAGAAATATGATACAATACATCTTACACACAAAACCACATTGAACAAAATACTAAATGTTCACTTCAAAAGTACAGGTGCACAAAAATGTGTGTTCTGCTGAAAAGCAAGTGGTTTAAAGCTGGTGCAGTGCTACATTATGATCTAACAAATAGCATAACTCACATTGCAACAGAAAAGTTAATACTGGCCAAATTACATGCAAAAGAAATAAACTTAACACATTACAATTGTCTCAAGTGTTCAAAAAAGAACATTTCTTTATTGTTTAATGGATCAAAGCAGGGCTACTGCAAACAAGACCAATTGGTGAGTGCACATATTTAAAAGTCGCTGACAGCACTTCATGCGTATAGGAGTGATATGTGGAGGTTGTTTGGCCTTGATGTCTGTAAAGTAGTAGCTCCCCAAGAATTTTAGTCTCTTTCAACATTGTTTGGAAGTGGAATGACATAAATTTTGTCTTTGGACTTAACCATTACACATTTACGTTTAAGTGATTGGGGATGCACAGCAAATACATTATGGGTGTATCCTCCTCTCTGTCATCATGTTCATTTCCGCCATCTTCCTCTCTGTTGTCATGTCCACTTCCACTATCTTCTTCTCTGTCCTCTTGTCCACTTCCACTATCTTCTTCTCTGTCCTCTTGTCCACTTCCATCATCCTCCTCTCTGTCCTCTTGTCCACTTCCACTATCTTCTTCTCTGTCCTCATGTCCACTTCCATCATCCTCCTCTCTGTCATCATGTCCACTTCCACTATTTTCTTCTATGTCCTCATGTCCACTTCCATCATCCTTCTCTCTGTCGTCATGTCCACTTCCACTATCTTCTTCTCTGTCCTCTTGTCCACTTCCACCATCTTCCTCTCTGTCATCATGTCCACTTCCACTATCTTCTTCTATGTCCTCATGTCCACTTCCATCATCCTCCTCTCTGTCATCATGTCCACTTCCACTATCTTCTTCTCTGTCCTCATGTCCACTTCCATCATCTTCCTCTCTGTCATCATGTCCACTTCCACTATCTTCTTCTATGTCCTCATGTCCACTTCCATCATCCTCCTCTCTGTCATCATGTCCACTTCCACTATCTTCTTCTCTGTCCTCTTGTCCACTTCCATCATCTTCTTCTCTGTCCTCTTGTCCACTTCCATCATCCTCCTCTCTGTCATCATGTCCACTTCCACTATCTTCTTCTATGTCCTCATGTCCACTTCCATCATCCTCCTCTCTGTCATCATGTCCACTTCCACTATCTTCTTCTCTGTCCTCTTGTCCACTTCCATCATCTTCTTCTCTGTCCTCTTGTCCACTTCCATTATCCTCCTCTCTGTCATCATGTCCACTTCCACCATCTTCTTCTCTGTCCTCTTGTCCACTTCCATCATCCTCCTCTCTGTCATCATGTCCACTTCCACTATCTTCTTCTCTGTCCTCTTGTCCACTTCCACCATCTTCTTCTCTGTCCTCTTGTCCAATTCCATCATCCTCCTCTCTGTCATCATGTCCACTTCTGTTCCCAAGCATAGAGATGTCTGTGGGGCATGCACTCACTTAACGTAGGCCTACGTAATCCTACAATAACATTATATTTACAGTTGATTTATTAAAAATGCTTTTCAGTAAAAGTCAACAGCAATAACTCCAATAACAAACGATAATTTTATTAAAAATGCTTAACAATTCCTGTAATGAATAAATAGCACAATGAAAGAAATAATGTCTCATCATCGGGATATGCTCCGTGATCAGAGGAAATGTTACTTGGCCCCGAACAGTGGTGAAAATTGGAAGTTCAGTTTAATATAATACAACTCTGTGAATAATTCCGTCTGAAATGAATGAAAATAGTTGTTTTAATGGTTATAGAGTCAGATATGTGGCGGTAATGTTTGATTTATCTAAAGGTTTTAATCTGTTACTGTGTAGATGGGTTTGGCTGTAATTTAAGGACAGATTCTAATATATCTGCAGAGTGGGGACTATAAATCTGATAGGAGTTTTATCTTTTTATTGCTGTTTTGCACAATATGCTTAACTAAGTATTTTTTGATTTTGAATATTAGAGATTTTGCAGATATATTTTGTACATACATTGTTTGGATTTACTTATATATTTCTACCCCTTTTATAGAATAGAAAATCCCTTTATTGTCCCACAATGGGCAAATTTACAGCAGCAGAAAGATTATTAAAAATTGTCACACAAATGAGGACCTTAGAAAAATGTATAAGAATAACATAATAGGGAAGAGTTAAAATATAAACAATACAATTCTGTAAAGTGTTTTAACAATATACAACTGGAGAATAAATAACCAATATGCAACTATCGACATTTTTACAGTATTGGATATTTGAAAATAGCAGCAACATCAGAGATGTACAGAATGACAGCAGCAGGTTATTTAACTGACTAAGGTTTCTATCATTACATTTGATTTGATCTGTTCCTGCTCTCGGTGGTTGGAACCTTTATTCCACTCTGGATTCTTGTGAGTGTAGTCTTTATTCACTTTAACTTTTTTTTAAATAAATAAATAAACAAACAGTTTTGAAAACCTCGGTATTCATTCTTTTCCTGCTTTGTGTGTCAACTTTCACGGTTGCTAAGCAACAGAGCATACGGCGGTAAAACCCGCCGAAGGGTGGACCTGTTCAAATGTACAGCCAAAACTCTTCCGGCCTCCTTATTTTCAAGGACTTCAAAGGATCCAGTCTAGGTAGAACACGTCCTTGGAGGATGCAGCCCAGGATTTCGAACAGAGCCTGTGATTAAAGGGATAGTTCGGTATTTTTGACATGAATCTGTATGGCATCCCCATCACCAGTGGCATGCAATCACACTGACTTACCCCTGGCAGCGTCCTGTGAGCAGAGTTATCGTCCAGTTTTGGTCAAGCCGAAAGTAGTCCGGCAGGTTTTTAGGACCAGCGAAATAAAACTTTTCTCTTGCCAAAACATTATGTGTTCAAAAGAGTGATATTTTTGCATCCCAAAAACGTTGTAGTGGAAAAAGTCACACGTCGTTATCAATTGGTCCTATTTTCTCTCTGTTCGTATCACTGCGCGCCGTCATTCAGACAGCGAGCTCAACAACAGCCAGATGCATGTCTCCCTCCGCCTAGCTCCTAGCTGGGCGGACCGAGACATGCATCTGGCTGTTGTTGAGCTCGCTGTCTGAATGACGGCGCGCACTGATACGAACAGAGAGAAAATAGGACCAATTGATAACGACGTGTGACTTTTTCCACTACAATGTTTTTGGGATGCAAAAATATCACTCTTTTGAACACATAATGTTTTGGGAAGAGAAAAGTTTTATTTCGCTGGTCCTAAAAACCTGCCGGACTACTTTTGGCTTGACCAAAACTGGACGATAACTCTGCTCACAGGACGCTGCCAGGGGTAAGTCAGTGTGATTGCATGCCACTGGTGATGGGGATGCCATACAGATTCATGTCAAAAATACCGAACTATCCCTTTAAGAACAGGGCAGCCCGCACTGACGCGGCTCAGGGATTACGTCACACGCAGCGTCGAAAAAAATCAGGACATTTCCTCACTTTCTAAAAAAAACCCGGGACGCCCGGGACATGACGTGAAATACGGATATGTCCCGGGAAATACGGACGTTTAGTCACCCTATTATAATATAACTATCAACCTATTTTTCCTGCAGATGTCATAGTAAAAGTCAGAAGCTATAACACATATATGTTTTAAAGTCTTTAATGAATGTGTAACCCATGGTTATTAAGCTGTCTATAATTTTATTTTTTATTTCCAAGTCTCATGAAAAAAAAGTCAGTTTTTGGTTTAGTACTGAAAATTCCCATAGACTTGAATGCACCACACCTGCACAGCAGTTAGTCACGGCTCCTCCCTGCTCAGAGCCAGCGTGCTTTTCTTTTAAGGCCTCGGTCTGCATGGAGAGAGGTAACTTTCAAAACATTCCCATTTGGTTTTGAATTCTTAAGATATGTGGATAAAACGCGATTTTGATTATTATATTTGTATTGTAGAAACAGGAGATGTAAGCGGTTGAGCAGGAAGATTTGCTGTATTATTGTGTTGAAGAATATCCTGGTGAGTTCACATGAACCTGTGAATGAAATATATATATTTTTTGAGATGTAAAACCAGTCAGGATATAATGTTTTGTAAGATATGTAATTTTACTAGCTGTTTTGATTTATTGAATGCATTAGCACAGTGAGAAGGAGGCTAACACACCCCCATGTGCTCTTCTAAAAAAAAAATGCACTTGCAAGCTAGCTACATCGTGTGTGATGTTGCTGTAAAACCCCCACAAGGGGTTAACGTAAAATTAACCCTTCATAGGTGTCCTGGATTGTTTTTTCCAGACACAAGTATTGACTACTGACCATAATGATTTCTTAGACAGTGAACCACATGTAAATTGATAATTTTACTTTCTGTATATATTTTTGTCTGTATAAATGTGGTAAAACCAATTTATATTATGGTGATTACATGATTTATTTTCCAATTGAAGTAATTGCTCTGCACATTTGTGTGCAGGCTGTTTTTTTTTTTTTTTACATAGTTGCAGAACCTGCTGTTACAGCTGAGCGGTTCATTGTATGGACTGGACTAGACTCCACCAGAGATGTTGATGCAGGATGTTCCCAATGTCAATGCCATCCGGTTCCCTGGAGGGTGGTAGGAAAAACAAGGAAACTTAAGGATTTTTCTTCCCTTTCTTTCTGCGGATTCATAATTTTTTTCTTTTCTGAGATCTCGGACAATTTTTGTTGTTACTTTGTTTAATTTTTTTGATCAGATCTGATAAAACCACTTGATGCATCAGATTTATTTAAATCCAACTGAAATGGACAATTTCTTTTTATGGTGCACTTATGGACCCTGGTATATCATAATGATACAATTTGTCAGAGTTTTCTGATGTACTGTTCAAAAATACTATGAATATGCTGCGTGACTTACAGTATCTCTCTGTTTGGTTAACAGACGCTGTTCTTCTGGAGTTTCCGCAGACAAGTGTCTCTGATGTGCGCACGGCCATCAGACGAAAATGTAACAATGAGCAGTTCAGCCAAAAAAAAGGAAAATAATGTGTGGTGGGCGTGTTTTTGTATGGTGCGAGGGTTTAGGCATGCAATAATAAGGAATGTTGTTTTTCATTGTTCAGTATTCCTCTGTGTTCTTTAAAGTTTAATTGTAATGTTTAGGTCTGCTGCCTGACATATTTCTACAAAGTGTACTAAAGTACCAATATTTGAAAATGTGTTGCAAGTTTTATAATGAAAATGGTTAAAGTCGATATGTAAATGTTTATTCATTCAGAGATGGTACAAGTTGTTATATTATTTGTAATGTACTATAATTTGGACATGTTTCAAATACATTAAAGTATATTTTTTCACCTGCATGGAAGTATATCCACAAGTCTTTCAGCATTTAGTATACTGTTAATACAGTTGCAAGAATGTGCAAGGTAGAAAGTAGTATAGCAATGTAATGATAAAGTATATTTACTATTAACTGCAAAGTATGCTTTTTTAGTAATTGGAATAAGCCAACAGTATAATTAAGCATATTATTACCACAGTAAGAGTATATTAAAAGTATAAAGCTTATATGTTTTTAAGACACTAACAAATCATTTTTAATGTAGTTATAATACAACCATAGTGCACTTTAATTTGACTAATTAAGCATATATTAGTACATATAAACTCATATACTTAAAGTATACAAAATATACTTTAAGTTGTTCCACTTTAGCACATCAAAGTACACTAAATACACTTCAAGTTGAGCTTGTCCACTATTTAATTACAATTAAAATATATTTAGTACAAAATTAGTTGTTCCAAAATAGCATGCTTCAAGTTAACTAATCATAAACACACTTAAAGTATAGTAATGATTAGTGTGCCTTCAAGTACACAAAAGTATGCTTAATTTTAGTACAGTTAGTACATTTATTTTTCAGCAGGGTTACAGTTTGAAGAAATAGAAAATGTAACCATATGCCAACCGTCACAAGGATGTGCATGACAAGGAAGGGCTATATATACTGCATGCATCATTTAGGTAGTTAACATTGTATTACTTCTTGAGCTCCTTGAGTTATTTACTGTCACAGGTAGGTGCTTCGGCCGGAGAGTAAGTATTGAGGCCGGTATAATTTAAAGACAGCCGACCCTTGCATGCTAAAATTAGGACTGGCCCACCAGGCAAATGCCCGGTATCACAGATTACCAGTCCGAGGCTGGGAGTATTTAATATCAAGCACCGGCCTGTTGCTGAGTGCAGCTTAGAGCTGACCTGCCAGCAGACAACTTCACCACTGCTCTTTCCTACTAATGTTCTTCCCACATTAGAAGGATGGATGATTCACATTTGCAAGTATACACCCCGCATCAACAACTACATAAAGGAAAACTTTATGTAGTAGCTTTTATTTTTGTCTTTTTTTCCCAGGTAGCAATCATTCTTTGACGTTGGTGATCCCAATGTGGTTCAATTAAGAAACCTGTCTCCTGTTTCTGTGCTGCATATACAAGCTGAGACAAGAGGAAGTGTGGCTGGTAACTGAGATATCACAAGATTGTATATATGCTGTTGGATGGATGCTGCTTTCTGTGTTTAAAGGTAATTCTTTAGCAATTTCAGGCATGTGACAATGTTTGTGGTGCTTCTACCCTCCCAGATCTTTTTTTAATATAATTGCGATAATTATAATAGGATTCAATTTGCTAAAGTGTTTTTTTTTAATAGGTGTGATAAAAACAAAAAGCCATGTTAACCATACATCCTGCCCAAGGACACTCATATGTACAGTGCTACTTGTATTAATTAGAGTTTATATACTAGTGATTTACTTTTTTATATGAAAAAGCATTACCTGAAACTGAATATTTGATTAAGAAACATGTTCTTTTGCATATATTGGTCAAAAAGCATCGTCACTTAGAAATTACAGTAAATGTTTGATATGTGAAGGAACAAACCAATCTGAGATAGTTTTTTGTAATATTTCACACTGCTAGTTTACTTTCCAATTAGATGTGCTATAAATCATCTGAACAACTAACAAACAATAATAGAATTAAATGTTCTGATTTGATAAAACAACAAACCAAAGCTAAAACAAGTAATATTGCTATCAAGTTAAATAATATAATTTGGCAAAAACTATTTGCCATCTGGTTAACAACAAATAAATAGGAAGATTAAAATATAAAGATATTGTGGTGAATGTTAATTTTCTGTTGGTAATATAAATAAAAAGACCAAGTGATGCCGCAAGCATTGTTTTGTTCCCATTCTGTTTGTTTGTTCAGTTCTTTTTTTATTGCTGTAAAGCACTTGTGTCGTACTTGGTTTTTGGATGAGAATAGCATTAAAAAATGCATTACATGTTTTATTATCTGTCTACAAATTGAGTCAAAACTATTCTGCCAATGCAAAGGACTCAAAGTAGGCAATGTAGCTATTTTACTGCATTGAAGCACTTATCTCTGGAGATAGTGCTGCAAGCTGGCACTATGGGTATTTTAGTGTTTGTGTGTGAGCGAGAAGGAGAGAGAGTGGTTGAATCAAGGGAAATGCTGTATACCATAGATTACTTAATGAGGTCAGTGCCTTAAGCTTGACATTTCCAGCAACACCTCCCAACAAAGTGTACGGACTTGCTGATGCCTTTTAGAGTGTTTCTCTGAAAACCATGAAGCCAGCTACTGTAGATGAAGGAAAAGTCAGGATTTTAGCTATTAAGAGTGACTCTGCAGGCCTTGTTTTCACCTTCTCTCCGTTCAGGAAAGATGAACACAGAAGTTTAGGTGTGTGTTCTTTTGCAAGTGTCTTTGTTTGTGTAAACCCAGGCTTTGTAAAAAAAAAAAAGTAAGGTACAGAAAAACCTAATTCATTTGTTGTCAGTGTCCTTATTCACCAACAAAGAGGGAAATGAACACTAAGGCATAAAAGCATTCAATTAAGATAGAAAAGTCAGGGTTCATTAAGCATGAGCAGGCCAGTGAAAATGACCATCCATCAGAAGACAATGCCGTAGCAGAGCTGAATAGCACACACCGTAAAGCAAGCATAAGTAATGCCTTTGGGAGTTTTCTATTTTGTTTTTCTCATTGGATCTGATCTTTCTGTAATCTTTTTTAAATGTTTTGTCAGATGAGCCTTCAGATAGGCCGTGTCTATGTTTAAAACTGTTTCAACCCATTATTGCTTAATACAGACAGGCTGACTGCCTTTAAAGAGAGAAAGCCAGGAAAGCTCAAGAACAAACATGGAGGCTGTGCAGCAATGTCAGTGAGAATGGGGGCATAATGCTACAGTATAATATTTGGATATTTATGTGCATGTTCTTGAGACATCTATATTTCGTCCTGTGAAAAAAACTAATTCTAAACCATCTTCCACTGTGTATCCTGAAAACCATCACAGTATGTGTTCTTTAGATAGAAAGCCGTTTTCCATGACTTTGCTGTTTTTGTCAGGGATTATTTGCTTCATAAAGTAGTGGCTAAGAGGACCCAAATACAGTCAGAAAGGTGAGTGCAAAATGTAAGATTTATTCATAAAAAAGGCATAAACACAACAGAAAGCAACACTATAAGCTGGAAATAAAAAGAATTGCTATAAAGATAAAATAGGTGCTATAGAAAACAAGCAGTGAGTAGGAAGTGTGAAAACACAGGAAAATAATTTCAGGGTCCTACAGTAACATAAGAGCACACACTGGTAAGGGTGGTGTTTCCCAAGGGTCCATTTAGGGCCCCTTTCATTCATTATCTACACGCTACACCCTCAATCAAATCTTAATAAAGAACAATGTAAGTCACAATGATTGTGCAAACAACATCCGGCTGTACGTATTTGCTGTCAGCAGATGACTATGAATCAATTCAGGAAGAAAGAAGAACAATATAATGCCTGGATGTGATAGATTTTTTTTTTTCAGCTGAATCAAGACATAACTAAGACAATAGTTTTTGACCTAAATGAAAAAGGTGATGTTGTAGTACTCAAGATCGGTCTTATTCTTGAGACCATATTTTTAGGTGATCTCGTATTGACAGCATTGCACTGTCAATATGCACTGTCTATAGTGATTACTGTGTTATCTAAAATTACTTAAAAAAAGAATCATATTTGTAATTAAATATACCTACGTGATCAGAGTCACCAGATCTTCTACTGGAATGATTTTAAAACAATTGTGGCGCCAACAGAGTGATCAGCTGATAACCGATCTGTACAATAATAGTTATATAACCTTGAAACTAGAGGGAAGGCTCCTCTGTTTCAACACCTTTGATTTATCTCTGCATATATTCATGTGCAGCATTTATTGAGCAGCAGGACAATCTCCACCGTGTTGAAGTTCGTTTCCAGTTGGAGATTAGAGTTCCACAGAGTCAGCATCATCTAGCTCGTAATTGATCCATAGAGTGACTCAGATTTCAAAGTGAACCTTGGAGAACAGGGTGCAGAGCTCTAGAAGATCCATCCATTTTCTGACATGCTCATCGCTGCTGGGATCGCGAGGGGTGCTGGTGCGAATCTCCAGCAATCTATGGGCGAGAGGAGGGGTACACCCTGGAGAGGTCGCCAGTCCATTGTAGAGCAAAACAACTATTCACACACACACTCACACTGAAGGAGAATATTGAGAAGCCAATTAACCTAACAGTCATGTAGTTGGACTGCAGGAGGAAGCCGGGGTACCTGAAAAGAACCCATGCATGCACAGGGAGAAAATGCAAACTCCATGCAGAGTGTGCATGGAATCGAACAGCAACCTTCTTGCTGCAAGGCAGCAGTGCTA